GGTCTCATTGGAAATAAAAACTGTTTAAATTTATATCCTGATTTAACTGTAGGATATAATTTGAGAGTGTTTCCTTATCTTTTTTAAGATCTGTATTTTTAGATTTGGCTTTTTTTTCCTGAGTTCCTGTGTTTATATTTTTCTAGATCTTGTGGAGAATTTTGATGAGGCTTCCAAGAATGAAGCAAACTGAATTGAGTCAACTTCTGAAGAAGATAAAACTTGAAGAAGTTACTGGGAGCTGCTATTTTATATTATGACTGCTTTTTAAAATTTTTTTCGTGGCTCTGATAAAATCTCAATCTCTAATATTTTTAGGCCCAAGCCCCTTGGACACTGCAGCTCTTTTCAGTTTTCGCTTATACACAAATCATTCTTTGCAGCTAATTAAGGTGAAGAAGCCTGGGAATAAAGTTTGAAACAAAGGTTAATAAAATTCTTTGCCTAGTATACAGTTTTATTTTTTATTTCATTGACACTGATTTGTACACAGAAGGCAAAGTTGTTTGTAGAAAGCTAATCATGGTATGTAATATGGCTGATAATCTTTGGAATTTGATTAAAGATTTAACATGATAGTAAAATGTAACAAAGATGGTATGAAGTTCTCCTGTTTTCAAACTTTTTTCTTCAGCAGCCCTTAGGGCTTCCCTGGTTTATGTGATGGGTATAATTATAAAATGAGGATAGAATATTCCTTAGTGGGTGAGCAGGGTTTTTTTTCCTCTTAATATTGTCTATATTGTAAGCATTTACTGAGTCCTTATGTGTATTATCACACTTAACTTTCTCTCTAAATTTAGTCCTGAATTTATGAAGTAGAAACGAGTAGCTCCATTTTGTAGATGTAACCAGGAGTTATTTCAAGAAAGTAAATCTCTTAACTCCCTTCTATGCAGGATATTCTATAAAGTACCTGAATAAAAAGTAGGAATATCACCTTGTCTTTTCCTTAAATGATAACACTAAATGAATTTGGCTACTTTTTAGAAAATTTAACAGTAAAATTGACATGTATATACAGTTGTAAGAATTTTAATAGGCAACCCATGTAACTGCCACCGTAATCAGGGTACTGAACAGTTTCATCACCCCAGAAAGTTCCCTCAATAATAAAGCTACTCTTTAAAAATTATATTAGCAGTTACAGTGTTGAAGCAACTTTAAAAACTTTACAAATGGCAATTAAAACATAATTACATCAGGGCCAATTGAGGGAGAAAACTGTCAGTTTCTACTTAAACAGTAAAAATTATTTTAAGTTTCCATACCAACTTGCAAGTACCTTTTAAAGGTACCATACAGCTATATCTAAAAGTCAACATTAAAGGCTATGTATCAGTTCTGTTAAACTGCTACAGTAACACGTACTCTAAAGCTTTGATGATTTACAAAATTACAAAAGTACAGGTTTCCAGACTTAAGGGTTAGATTGGGCTCTGCTACATAATTCACTCCAAGTCCCAGACTGATGAGACAGCCTGTCTGGGGAACTCAGCTTCCTGAGTGAGAACACGGTGGGTCATGTGCTGGCTCTTAAAGCTGTTAATCACAAATGTCACTTCTAATATGTAACTGACCAAAGCAAGTGGGATGGGTAAACTGGAGGGTGGAGGATGGGAAAGGTCTGGAATGGGTTCTGAAGACAACATTCTGAGGAGCTCCCAAGTGACACCAATGCCATTGGCCCACTGGCCATACTTTTGAGTAGCATGAATAGAGATTTTCATAATTCATCCCAAGAGATTAGAGTGACATTGACAGGCTGACTTGAGCATGTGAAGGATGTCACTTATCTGAATATCCAGTTGTTTGCCCTGGGTCTATATAGGTAAGAGATTAAGTAGAAAAGTGTAATAGGTTTTTGGGCTGGGCCTATCCCAGGGCAACATGGTTCTTGCAGCAGATATTGGCTAAGGTTAATATTGTTGCCTGTACTCTGACTAAAAGTGTTATTTCTTTGGTTCATTTAAATAATCTGATGTGTTTGGGGGCTACAGGTTAATAAGAAAGGTTTTTCTTTTATTCGATATTGAGATAGAGTTATGCTACAGTTACAAATGACTAAAAATTTTGGTTAAAAAGGTCACAATACTATTTTGCCTGTGGCTGAGCTCCACTTTCCCCCAGGAGCATCCTCTAATTGGAGCACTGGCAGTGTCAGGACAGGGAAAAGGGATGGGAAACAACCAGCTGGCTCTTCAAACTTATGTTGGGAAGTGATGCACGTCATTAATAAAGCAAATTTCATCAACTGGAGTAAGTCACATACATAGTCAAGTCTGATGGCCATGAGGATGGGGAAGTATCTTTTCCCAGAGCAGCATAGCATATATATTTACCAATTAATACAATCTACCAATCCCTACAATTTTTCATTAATTGCCCACAGTTCCTGTGACTATTATATGTTAAGCACTGTACCACTTGTTTTATATCAGAACAATCCCCCAAAGGAGTCACATTGTACAGGTAAGGAAATCATCTTTAAGAGGCGAAATTGCTTGTATGAGGTCACACTGCTCCCTAAGGTGGTGGGATGAGATTCAAGCCCAGGTCTGCTCTTGCCTTCAAGACCTACTGGAAAGGATTTCAGGCCCTGGCAGGCTAGAGGGGCAGATGATTCTGACCTGGTTGAACTTTGGGCTGTTGTTCATTGATGGCTGTTTGTCCACTATGTTTAAGACTAGCCCTGGGGCAAACTAGCTTTCAGCTGGATCTGAACCAGGGCTACATTAATGAAGAGATCATTGATTTTGATCTGACAACTCCTAGGATTAAAAGCCTTTATTTATTAAAATAATCAAACTGAGCACGTTTCTGTTATCGTCATAATAACGCTGTATGCACAGGGCAGAAAGCTACATTCTAAAATTTGGAAACAAGTTTAGAATGGGCTGAAGGTCACTAAGGATTGGTTCTGATCTCTACTAATTTTTTCTCCAGTACATAACACTGGATTTTTGTCTTAGTAGATTACTCTCCTTCCCTCAAAAGATACATATGTCATTTATGTTTTGGAGAGAAGTCAAGGGAACTAATAACAGTTTTTAGTTCTTCCAAAACAATAATTTTAAAAGTCTTCTATTCACATAAGCTTTCATCACTCCAATCAGCACAGTCTTGAATACCATTTTTGCAGCGATTTCTGGGAATGCAGTCGCAGTCAGCAAAGAAAACAGTATCACATCTCCAGCCTGAACACTTTGGGCACTGTAAAAAGAGACAATTTTATTTATTTTTAAAAGCATAACTGTTAAAATGTTAAGGTGGACTGGAAAAGATGCTATTGGAAATGAAATAGCCCTTTGGATCTTAAAAATATTAGTGAAAATTGTCCAAGGGGAAAACTGCAGGTGTTTATTAAAGCTTCTACATATTTGGGTGAAAGAATTTGTACTTTGAAAAGTCAGGAAGGGTACTACTTCTATCTGCTTGCAAATAAACATACTGATATGGTATATAAACAAGGAAGGTTCCATATGAGTTTGTATGTGATCAATAAGCAGGGAAAAGAATCAGTATTTGCTAATCTGCAGCTGGCAAGAAGAAAAGGACCTGTTTATACTTTAGCCTTGTGTTGTCAACACATTGTTAGATAACATGCAAGTCCTAGGAAGCATTTCTTTTTCTACCCTCCACGACGATCAGGCAAAAGGCAGGAAATGATCTAGTTAGTGTGCTATACTTCTGATAAATCTTTTACATACTGATTAGGGTCATGAGCTCTTGGATCTGCTGCCATGGTTTTAAAATAATCTAGCCTTGCCAGATTGCAAAGTGATCAAGAGTACTGCACAGTGTTAACTACCACAGAGAACACTGTGGGAGGCAGAGAGGAGAGTGAGAGAGGAGGGGCGAGGAAATACCAAAGGTTAAGCAAACAAAAAAATCTTTGAAAGTCAAAGCATTCAACAAAGCATCCTTTGATCTTTACAAAAATTTCCAAAGAAATCCAAAAGGAATTTGATAGCAAACGAGTTGTTCATCAAGATTAGAATTTCCTTCATTAATCTTTGCAAATCTGGCTTTATTTGCTTTTTAGCTACATTAAAAATGCAAACTACTGGAAATGATGGAATTACTTAATTGTGAATATAAATATCCTTAGGAAGATTTCTAAATATAGGTTAATTTATGTAATAAAACCCATTAAAACATCAATTATATGATTTTGTTTTTATCTGATTCATCTGAACAATCGCCACAGTCATTTCTTGTGCCACACACCTTGTCCATATATGTCCAAGTCTTCTGGTTAGGACACTTGAATATTAAGTTTTGTGGGAGACTGCTCGGCATTTGGCCTATATTAGACAAAGGCATTATTTCTAATACAAATAATTCATGCATAATAATGCTTTAATTATAATTCTAAATTTTAGTTATTAGTTGCTGGTGACCATTCTTTCATTCTGATTATTGGTCCACTTCACCACAGTAGGTAGCAAATTCTTCACTGTGACTGCGGTCCAGCTTGCCGTTACAAAGCATGGAGGGTGGCAAGCAAGTAGTGAGGTCTTCACACAAGAAGCCAAGTTGCTGTGAAGCCGTTTTACATTGTCGATATGGTGAATCTGTTAGATTTATAAGACAAGTACCGGATGTTGATGTATGCATCTACGACCATAAACATCAAGTTTTAATAATATAATAACCCATCTATAACAATCTGCTGGCTCCTTCCCCCGTCTGCTTCTTTCCATTGTTCTTTTCCCAGTTATTTCTTCTTCTTTTTTTTTTTTTCTCCCCCATTCTTCCAAACTCCCTAGGCCTATCAACTTGCATTTTTTTTGCAATACCACTGGCATTTGGGCAAACAAGAGTGGACTTACGCCTGCCTGAGAAGGAATTAAAGGTGTCTAGGGGGAAGAATCAGTTAGCCTGAGCTCTGGTTTGAGCTTTGCCATGCGTTGGTTGAATGCAGCTTCCTCCATTATTTTTTTAGCTAGAAATGATAACAAAGATAATTTGCTACACCAACCTCTAGGGGATGCTGTGAGTTAAATCGAGATCAGTGTTTAAATGCGGTGAATCTACTCACTCTAAAATAAGTGGAAGTTTGTCAAAACAACGTGATGGTGTTTTTTAAAAAAAAAATGTGTTAACTACTATAAAAATTTGATGGAAGTTAAGATGTAAATAGATAGGTAACATATCTCAAGCATATTTACACCTAAAATAATGTATCTCCAGAAAATTCTGTTTTTTTTGTGTGGAGTGGTAAACAGGCTGGGAGTATTTTAGATACCTGGTTTAGAGTTAGTAAAGGCTTGGCGAAGGTGTGTTTTTCATTTTGAAAGTTTTGTGGTTGGGGCCAGGTTGATAATTAGAAGGCAGACAATACCACAGTTTGTATCCTTTAATCCATGAGGCACTTGGCATTATGATTGTGGCTGATTTTTCTCAAGTTACTAACAATACTTAACACCCCACCCAACCTGATTTAGTACTGAATTATATGGTCTTCTGTATGGCTCACCACTGTTTTCCTAGTTTCCCCAATTAGAATAGAAACTCCTTGAAGGTAGAAACCATGTCCTGTGTAGGCTTCTGAGCTGGGCAGACCCGGGTTGGAACCCTGGCCTGTCGATTTAGCA